AGCAGTCTGAAGTAATCCAAGATTAAACCTGCACTTAACCAGCATGAATTTAATTAGTTTTTTTCTCTCCTTTTTTTGTTAGAGGCTAAATGCTCCAGGCAAGAGAGAGCGACAGGCTCTGAAGCCTGTCCAGGTTGATGTTAGGGGTCAAAAGAAAACTGCTGTCCCAGTGAAACCAGGGCAGGAGTGTCAGTGACAAACCATCTGTGAGTGCAGAAAGTCACCTCATTTGTCTCAATCGAATCCCTTTAAAGCAGGAGTAAATCTGGTCAGTATAGCATCACAAAATGTTAAATATCATTAAAACGTATATGGAAAAGATATTTGTTAAAGGTCAGGGTCGGCGTGTGGCCCATGTTGTAGCTGTGAAACAACACTGAATCAACACAGAGAAAATGTCCTTCACAGCCACAGCTCTAGCCCACCTGGAAGAAAAGCAGTCTTGTCCATTTTTTCAAAAGCAGGAGAAGCTTAGCAATGAGACCTTTCGTAAACAAGAACTAAGTAACAAATAAATAAATAAGCAAGGGAAAGAAGGCAAAAATAAGAAAACCGTGATTTTTTTTCTGACAAAGGATGTTCCATCGCAAAAAAGTTGAGATTGTGTGTCTCTGTGTGCATGTGCATGCATAAAAACTATCAGTAAACCTTCCCTAAATTTAATCCTGTTTCCCCTGTTTGGGCAGCATCCTCAAACATCAATCTACAGTACTGAAAAACCCTGACGCCAGGTCTCTTGCGCCTGCTTACAAATTGTCAATTTTTGCTTTCTTTCTTCTCTCCCAAAACCAGTCATATTTCTCATACAACATACCTCAAACATTTTATATCTGTCTGACTTAGATGATTCCACTGGTCTCACATCTCACTGAGACCGAGAACTGTGACTGAGCCTTTACTGAATTATCAGTAGCACAGAATGATGATGACAGTTTCTCCTTCAAAATAATTATTTAAAGGACACACATTTGTCTCATGAGCTGCAGTATTGCAGCATGTGTCCTTTAATTTGATTGTTTACACATTAGATAACTAAGGATTTTTGCAGTTTTAGCTCCAGGTTATAGTTATGAACAACTGTGTTTGTTGGTAAAAGGGATAAACTCTCATGGAGCTGTCTGTGTCGAAGGCCAAGCTATTCGAAAATCCTAGAAAGGGATTAGGAATTGAACACAGATGATACAACAATGGAGAGATACTGGTTTACTGAGCAGTGAATGACTCGTGAAGGACAACAACAACAACAACAACAGTGGATGGTAGAGATTTTCAAGCTGTGGTGAAAAATGAAAACAAATCAAACACCCCATGGTTGACATCAACAATCTTCACAATGCAGAGGTAAAAGTCTAGATGATTCACCATTCAAAGAGGACCCAGCG